CACCCTGCAGCCAAAACGAGAAGTCGCCCAACAACAACCACAACAACAAAAAAATTCGTGCTGTGTTTGTGACATAATCTTGATATACACGCGCTTGCTACATCACATTCAATGTGTGCCAAAAAATGAACAGCAATTTGAAAACGAACAAAATCAGTTTTCGTCGAAAGGAGATGAAAGGCACACGCACAGTAGAACACAATCAGAAATCTACAGAAATTATTATGAAAATATGACATTGTTCGATGCGCGCAGAATAGAGTGGTACGGAAATGGGCATTTTGATTGCAAGTTTTTCGGCAAACGATGACGACGCTGTGTCGACATCAATTTCAAAAAAACCGAATCCAATGCATGTTATCACATCAAAACGGGGTGGATTCAATCGAATGTAATGTTATGTTTTCGACATTTGTCTTGATTGAGCTTTAAAACTATCCGCAAAGCAATAAGCTCCCATAAGCCATACCACTCTATTAAATTGATTGCAGAAGATTCTTGATGGCGACAACTTTTACTTTTCGCACAAGTTTTCCAGAGGCTCGTGTTCTTACTTAGTTGCTCCATGTTTCATTGTGCGTGCGTATTTTCGTATCGTCAACAATATTTATTATCGTTTTGTTATTGTGCCACAATTCTTTTGGTTCTATTGCAGTTCTTGAATGGCTTCCCTTTCATTTCAAACAATTCCGCTTATATTCCGTATTCCCTGCTTTCGCAAATAAAAAATCCGCTTTGTACACATACAACGTGAGAGCTTTTCGTTCACTTCAAATTCACTCAAATAGATCCGGTTATTTTGCGTTACGGGCATTCAGCGTTACTGATGGTGGTGGCTGTATTATTGATTCTTTTATTTCAAATGATACATTTTTCTGATTGAGAATTGAGGCTTATGTATTCAACTTTTGTACTTGCTACATATTACCAATGAAACTGTGTGCCGAACGAAAACATCGACAAAGTTTTCAATGATTTGATTTTTCATTTTCCATCGACATTAGTAATAACAGATTTAAACGAGAATTATTCCATTTTTATTCTCCCTCAAAATACTTTGCAATTGAATCGAAGCCGTGGAAGAAAATCTTCAAAAAAAAATTGTTTACAACAGTGGTATTGAGCACGCACGCACGCTGTGGAAACAAATTCGTTTGAAATCAGCAGGTGTACTGCAGCATTGATTGATGACTACATATTTATGTTGTGGGGCACATAAGAGAGAGAGAGAGAGCGAGATAAATAGAGTTAAAGAGAGAGAAGAAGAGAAAGCGAGGTCGTAAATGAAGAGACTGAATGATAAGATCTCTGCGGTTTTTCATTATTCAAAGAATATAAATTTTTTCATTCATTAATTGCCACAAATCGACAAAAAATTGCTTAAAATATGGCTAATACTTTATGCGTTCAAGAATTCTTTTGCTCTTAAAATCGCATTGTAAAGATCCCACACAGTATTTGTCGGTGCCGTTCAAAATCTCTTTCAAAATGCCATTTTCGTTTGCAAACATGCATAAAGTACAGATTATTTCTTTTGCCGCTTCCGCGTTCTCATTCGTTTTTTTTCCTACACACAATGAATAAAACGATAGATAAGGGTTTCCAGCGTCGTGAAACTTTTTGATGTTTTGCCTTGCACAGGCCACATATTTTTAATTCACATTCAAAATTGTCATTAACATATCAATACAACCGTCGCGTCATATGACGATTGGATTCGTTTTTGTCGCGTAGTTATTTCTCAAATATTGTATATTTTTCTAATTCAATAATTTGGAATTTTCGATTTGGTCGTAAATTCATCTGCGAAATTTTTCATTCTCTATTGCATATACAGTGTTTACGGTTCGATTAAAACCATTCATGACATATGTCATTTGTGTATGCGCTACGCTCATTATTATTTTGTTGGTTTGGCTGATAATTTGCTGCGATCTGTGTATTTGATCTTTGGAATTTTGTTTTTGCACGGTTCGTGTTGCACACAAATACCCGTTCTTTTGTGCACATATTGTGCGCTCATTCAACCAAATAACACATTCTAACTTCTCTATCGAATTTTTTTTTCGGCGGTGGCAGTGGAGGCTGAGTATGTGTTTTTTTCTCGCTATGACTTTCGATTGGCATTGAATAGAGCGATGCATATATTTACAGTTTCTCAGAAATAACGTATGAGCACAAAACAAGATGCAGATACAGTCATTTCTGATTTTATGGTTAGCATTCATTTGCTAAAATGTAATTTCTGGCGTCGCTTTTGCACACACATATATACAAAGTCACCGGAAATTTCCGCAATTTTTGTGTGTGGTTCGACTTTCTTTTCAATTTATTGATATCGGCTGTCTTTTATCCATATTCTGGTATTCGGTGGCATTTTGATGTTGGGCGGCATTTTACCATGAAATGAGATAACTTTTCTGATAAGAATAACTTGTACAACATCAAATTCTCGCACAATATGAATTATGCTTTGTATAGGGAAAAAAAATTCATAACTTTTGTTTCAGCGTATCCATTACAAAATTGTAGAAATTTACCGAGCAAACATTTTGTATCGCCCAAAACGGGTTATAAAATAAGTTTTGTTTGCATGTAATTTTGAATAGTTTTCGGGTCGGGGTGTTTTAAATGTTTCCCTCTACATTTCGGTAAAAACAACCAAAGTTAATTTAGTTCGACCGTACTCATTTTTGTTAGTGTGGTTTTTCCGTTTTATTTTGTTTGTGTGTGTGTGGGATGATTGGATATTTTTTGCCACTGTTGCAATAGTTCATATTTTCGACCAAATCGCGTTATTCTCATTTCATTTTCATTGCCATACATAAACAATGTATCACCCGCAGTTTAACAACAGAAAAAAATGCTCTATAACAATTAGTGTGAGTCAATTGCAATATATATAAAGACTGTTTTCTGTATGTATTGCACAAAAGTTGTACTTGCACTGTACAAAGTATCATAAAATGTATACATCATCATTGTAAATGTATGTGTATATAGAAGGGAAATCAAGCCGAACTCATACCTTTGCAGCAAACCACTTTAAAGCACCTACCCATTGGAATACGACGAAAGGAAAAAAATGCACATCCGAAAAAAAGTTGCGAGCTGTTTATATACTAAAAATACAAGAATCAAAAGAGAAGAGAGAAAAAAAAATGAGTGGATGTTTTTTTTCTCGTTCGGTTGAAAACTTTTTGGTAGAGAAAATGAAGCAAAAGCAATGCTATACAAGCGATAGATGGTTGGTGCCGTATATCTATCGGTTTTTGGAAGTTCTATGTTGGTGTCGCTATCGTATTACGTAAACCATGGCAACGTGTTAGATTTTCCTGCTTCACTGCACGAATAGAATGGAAAAATGAAATAAGCACGCAAGCAGGCAGGCAGGCAGGCAAGTCGAAAAAAGTATATATATGAAAACGCAAGAAGCAAGCAAACATCAACCGAGGCCTATGTGTTTTGATAATGAATTTTCGAGCCTTACATAAGTTTGGGCTGTGTGTACCCTTTACAATAGCGTGAGCGAGAGAGCATAACCAAATGGAGAGCACTCATATCGTAGTTATATACGAATTGTATGCATCTAATCTCATCAAATCATGTATTTGTTTTGTGTATATGCGAAAATTGGTTGTATTTCCCTGATTCGGCAAATACGAGTTTTTCATTCGGTCGACTGAAAGTTAGGAAAAGGAGTAACAAGGAAAAGAAGGTGCAACGTGAAAAAATATATGCCCATTTCGGTTTATTGATGTGACGTAAAATGTCCAAATTGACACTGCAATTTCGGCTAATTGCGATGAGGCAATTGGATTGACGAACAAAAAAAAATAGTCGTTCTGTTGATCAACGTTGCTTTGATGTCACACCAAATTTTGTATTTGTATGATGATAAATTAGAAGAATAAGCTAGAGCGAATAAACAGAAGTACCGAGTAAAGAGAAAGAAAGAAGAAAGAGAAACAATACAACAAAATAGCCGAAATTATACAATTTTTTTGAATTGGTGCACACACAACGATATGCATAACGCGTATTCACTTCAATATTCCACCAGTATATATGTATATACAATAGATGCGGATCTCTAAAAACGTCAGTATAGAAATACCACCGAAAATTCTCAAGTCATTTGCAAATCGCATACACTCCGTTCGCACAGCATGAGTGCCGAAAAAGCAACCAACCGAGTTACAATACACACAAAAATCAACGCATACACTCGCTCATCAATAACAAAAATTTGGGCATAATACATGCATCGCGCATTTTATTATGTACAAATGTTGAACGCGCGCGCGATCGAAGGGGAAGACGAGGAAGCAGTGAGCGTGTGTTAGATGCTAGTCGATGCCATTTATATGATTGTATTGTAAAGATTTGGAATATTTGTACACTAGTACACACATACACAGAGGCATTCCTGTTACGGCTGTTTGTGCGAGAGCGAGTCAGTGCCGAACTTTGTGTGTTTTTAATGAATGCCGTTTTGTGTGTTGCAAACATCAATGCGTGTTTTTACATTTATATCGATTCTCTCATTCTTCTATATTCCGTTCGTCTCACACCACCTCTATATACATAGTTTGTCTCAATCATTGCACACAAAATCTATTACAATACAAACGCATTCGCATCTCTCTTCGCTCGCTGAAACAGTCGGCGGGGAAACGAGGCCAAAAAAAAACAGCATTTACCAAAATATCACAGTGAATGCGAACGACAAAAACGACACACGAAACCAACGTTGGAAAAAAAAATTTCGGCAATTCAACAACACAGCATTGCTGCTGCTGCTTCTATCTCAGTTACGATCCATATACAAACACATGCACACGCACATTCAAAAACAGAGAGTAGCAGTCGCAGTGGCCGCGAACATCGTTACGGACTAACGCATACGAACTAGCTGCACATTAGTTGCTTACATTTCATTTCGTTTTATACCCAAAAAATGTATAACCGGGCCAAAACGCAACTCTAAACTTTTATGTTTGTCTATTCGGCCCTAGGTTTTGGAGGTGCTTGGAGCTTGCACTAAAATTCGCAGTGCATTGCTATCGAAAAAAAGCTAGAAATTCTTTTCAAAAAAATATCATAAAATTTTTAATCACTACTAAATTGCATTTTCAACACGATAAAACGTAAAAAAAAAATTAAAAATTAAAAAAATTGTGAGCAAAAATTTAAACCACGAAAATTACGAGGAAAAAAATACACAAGTACATCTCAACGAGTCAACAATATCCATTGAATGCAATTTTTAATTGCATCATTGACAAAGAACGTATTGTGGAGCGAAAAAAGATAGAATTGAGTGAAAGTGATTTGGCTACTTTTCTGCAAAGAAGATTTTTTTTTATTTCAAAAAACAGTGCAACAATCGATCGAAACTCGTTGAACGAGGATTTTTTTGATAATTTTTTTTAAATATTTTTCTTTGCGCTCGATTTGATTTTCTTAATATTCGAAATACGCGCGCGGAAATACAGTGTGTGTTTTTTGGAAGGAAAAATCAACGTGAATGAGTGCCACTGCACACAAGACACACTGGTTGGTGGAAATTTATTGGCAACAATCAATGTGACGCCAATATTATTTATTGGAAACTAATTTCTAATTCAACGGAAAATGAGTGAATGATTTCCATTCTCGGACACAATACAAAAATCAAAGGAACATTCAATTACTACCTTTTTTCAAGTTATTTTTTTTTCTTTTTTTTTTCCTAAAAGATCGTTGTGTTTATAATCAAAAAAGCAAAACAAAAATGGTCTAAAATTGAGTGAAAATCGAACTGAATTAAATAACGATCGGAAAACTTTGGAAGCAAAATTAAATGTTTTGAAATTGAGTTAGAAAAAAGTGCATCTTTGGACATTAAAAAAAACATTTTCGGATTTTTGACAAAAGGCATCAAAAAGGATAATATTTTTCCGAGCAGATCGTTCATTTGGAAAGAGTTAAATAATTGTTTTAGCTCTCGTTGAGAGTTTTATTTTCACACGGAAGCACATTAAAATCATCAATCAACGTTTCATTTGAAAATCAGTACGCATTTGAAAAGGTGAGACCCATTTTTCTACTCATTATTATTATTATTATTTTTTTTTTTTTTCAAATAAAGAAAGAACTCTAAAAATATACATAAACATCGTACTAAAAACGAACCGGAACCAGTGCATTCGCGTTAGAATAAAATAAATGATTCACTGACATCTGAATCCAACATAGAAAAACATCGGATGTTTCAAGAAACTTCAATTTGTGTGAGAGTTGTCATTTATCAAGAGAAAAAATAAGTCGTTCACATTTCGTGCGATGATTTCAAAAAGAGAGCAAGTGTATCAACCACAATGCCGAACAAAAAAAAAATCATAGTGCTCTTATGATAATCTCTATCTTCCCTACTTAATTTTGATAACACCATTTTTTTGAGGAAAGAGTCAAACGCTTCTAAGCGGTCGATTCGCTGGGCATAATCCGACTAATTTTGCGAAACATAGAAAAAATCATTTTTTTTTGTTGTCGAAGCGATCGCGCAAAAAAAAACAGAAATCGTTGTTGCAATTTTGGTAGTTTTGAAACGCGGCTCGTGTGACTAAGATATTAGCGAACGAAATGAACGACTATCGTTCGCTCGTGTCACACACATATCCGTCGCCAAATCCAGAGTTGGAGCGCGTGTAGCACACTAATTTTAATGTGTGCTAATTCGTTTCTATTTCAGCATTGATACCGAACTGGCGAACAGTTTCTAGTTGTTTCTTCGTGTTTTTTGAACGGCGCTTCTTCCATTCACGCAAATTAAAACCGAAGAACATTGATTATGTTATTAATATTTATGGTAGATTCACAGACGTAATTGTCATCTAATTCAATTGACACTATTTCCTCGATGAAACAAAAATACGCACAGAGATGGAGAGAGAGAGAGAGAGAGAGAGAGAGAAGGACTGAGCGAAAAAAAAATCAGAGAAAAAATGGGAAAATGAGGAAAACAGGCAAAATATATTACACAATAGTTTTCAAGGTGTGTAGCGCGCATATGCATTATACGACGAAAAAACGCATGAATAAAACGCACGTATACAACCAAACAGATCGATACACGAAAGATGTATTACAAAAGTACAGCCCAAATATATATATATGCCTCTCTCTATCCATATACACGCATATTCGTTTTTTTATGGGAGCTCTTGGTTCGCATTCACGCAATCCATTCGCTGCACGCATCCAGCATTTTATGCGTGTTGAGCGAGTGTTTGTGTCATTTTCTATTGACATTGTTGTTGTTATTTTGTTTCTGGGTTAGTTCATGCGACTGCACATACGCACTTTCTGCGCTTTGTTTAGACAAAGACATTTGCATACTATTCCAAATGGGCTATTTTCATGTGATTTTAAAAATAAACGCACAATACATACGCAACATAAAATGTGTGTATTCATCGCGTTTTTTTATTGTTTTACGTTTTTTTTCTCTCCCAGCGAAGAGTTATTTAAGATGATGGGTTGAAAAATGTGGATCATGCATATTTTATATATGTGAAATAAATGGCACAACATTATATTCGATCTTATATTGTGCATAAACGGCAACAAAAATTATTATTCTTAAAATGGATGGGAATCGCTTTGTGAGGTTGCCGAAGAAGACACCGAGAAAATACTCTTTTTGAACATTATCTTCGGCTATTAATTTTTAATTAAACAACACGACTTCAATCTATATAATTACAGTTGTAATGGCATTGAATTAAGGTATTTAAAACAATGAACGACACGGCATGCGCTGCGCATTTTTGAATGAAATTCACATCATCAGCATATATTTTCCATCGCTCGATGTACGTTCAAAATATGAATGTATAAAATACATTCATCATAACAATCCTTTCTTTATCCATCTTCAATTACAGATTTTGGTTGTTCGTTTGTGTCTCTGTTGTTGGTTTTTTTGTCATCAGCTATTTAATAATTTATCAATGTTCCCTGCCGACTGTTCGCCCTCTCACATCTATATTTTATATTCGCCGAAGAAAGGAACATATGAAAAACACAGATGCCATGTGTACGTGAGAATGAAAGAGAGAGAGACTGAAAGAGAGTAAATTAGAAATGTTTACCCTTCCATCCAGGATGTGCATAGAGGCCGTTCTCAATGACTTTTTTTCTCTTCTTCACGTCATTTGCTATTGTTTTGATATTTGACGAAAAAGAAGAAGCATGTAAGAACCCGAAAAACTCAAAAGTCCCATTGAATTTTTAATGTGCGAAATAATCGAATGTGCGTGGTAGTTTGATGATGGATTGTTCGGTGTGTATCCACACTTTATTCCGAATTGTATATACTATTACACGGTTGTAGCGCACTCGCACTCTCTCTCTCTCTCTCCCACTATCTCTTGCTCTCGCTGTCACATTCAAAAATGTGCGTATAGATTTTCACATAACGAGAAATTGAAAATCGACCGAACACACTCGAGCCGAGTAGAAGCGAAGTGTGTGCACGACTGCTGCTGTTGTTCACTCGTTCTCTCTCATTCGCTCTCCATTTTACATCGTTCGTCAACTCGCTGCACACATACAGTACGCACTAGGCCTGTGCCACTGCTGTCCGGTGCATGTGTATTGTGTATGCGTGTGTCAGTGAACATTCGCTATGAATTATGAGAGTGCGAATGGGACAGAGCGAGGAAAAATCAATATATGAAATGATATTACTTCACTTTTTCGAAATGAAATTTATTATCATCGTTTTCACAATGCGTCGTATGCTATTTTCACATTGAATTCATCGAAATTGGAGTGTCGGGCCAGGTTTCACTGCCTACACTCTTTCAATCTACACCGTCAGCTGCATGCGTGTGTGCGTTTTTTGGGAAAAACGGCATTCAACGTTGTCGTCGTTGTTGCTGTTGCTGTTGCCTTTTTTCAACATCTCTTTCTTTATTCAAGCCATAGTTGCGTAGTAATGAATGCGTTTGATGAATTAGTAGGATTTTCCATCTAACTGTAAATGTGTGTCTGCTGTTCTTTGCTTAGATGCCATACACACGCACACATGTGCACCCATACAACTGCAAACAGTGTGTCGGCACTGTTTTTTGCGAATGCGATAGAAAGAGACATAGCAAATAATGGGGGGATTCAATTGAAAATCGCATTTGTGCACATATATACCAGATTGCGTTTATTTTATTCGTTCATTGCTGCTGCGCTCAAGTCCAATGGAAATATGAGAATTGCTATAGTTGCAGAATGTACGTAAGCGTAAAAGAGGGCCCCCAAAAAAATACATATTACATTGGCATTGACGGTGAACCAAAGCGAGACAAAATATCGAATTAAAAACAGCATTAACAGCACAGCACAGCACATGAACGAATGAATGTGAGGCGAACATGTAGATGTGTAGGCGCGCATTTACAAACACGCAACGCATTCGAAGCTAGAATGCGACTGTACTTATTCATCTATTAAGGTTGTGTGAACAAAAACAAAAATTAATTCCGCATATTCAAATTATAATTCGGCGAATGTCAATTCGACAACAGTGACATCAGATGCCACCGTATAAAGTTGACGAGTAGAAAGAAAAAAAGTGCTGAATGGGCCCGTATGTTTACAGTAAAATCCAACACACAACAAATGAAAAGGCTGTGGCAATAGCTGCGTGTTGCATAAATATTAATAAAATTGATTTGAAACTTAGCCACACAAACCAACCGCGAATATTCTCATTTCACAAAGCGAAAAATGTAATTTGGCACACGGCACACACTGTTTACCCGTGTGACATTAGAACAAAAGCCAAACAAAAAATGTATATTCTCCGCCGAAATATTGCATCAATTCACGCATACATTTTCGGTATTCTTCGTTGTGTCGATTCTATTTTCTCGTTTTTCTATTCTGTAACACATTCATATATTCAAAAAAAAAAAAAAAAAATTGTTGTGTTGGGTTTTTCGTCATGCCTTCAAGTCATTTCTACATTTCACTTTGATCGCTCCGTGTGTATGTATTTTTTATGCGGAAAAAATCGCCTAATAATTGCATGTTTGTGTGCGAACACAGCAATAAAATATGCTCAATTTGTAAATAAACCACATAAATCTGAGCGTAAATTATGTGCACGCGCTACACCATCGCTATATCGTTCGAGGTGAAATTGGTTGTGCTGTGTATGCCGTTTGTATGCATTCAACACAAACACGTACAATGCGCTCCACAAAACGGCTCGATAAAGACGTATAAATAAATGAGTGATTTCGACAAGCTTGTAAATATAAACGACAATATACGCAATCCGCCAACAACATCAAATAGAAACAAAAACAAGCGCGCGAGTGCGCACACACACGCAGAGAGAGTCAAAATTAACGATAGACAGCAGAATTAGGCCAGTTGGTAGAGGTTTTGTAATCGATTCATTTACCCAGATATATATATATGGGCGAACATAATTTTGACAAGTCGCTATTCGTTCACTCTTTATCTCATTCCGATTGCGAATATTTTCTTCGTACTATGCACGCGTGTGCCAAATTATGGTGAAAAACAAAAAATTCCTACTATCTTACGCTCTGCATTCATTATCTAATCATTTTCAACATTTTCAATTGAAATGACTCATGAGTGTGTGTGGTTGTGTATCTGCGATGGCCTTAATTATCGTCCCCAATTTAATTTCAATTCAAACATACAAAATACTCGAATTTAACCTTCTACAAATTTAATGTTTGCGAACGAAAGGAAAGTGCAATTGATTTTTGTTGACATTTTATAAGTCACCAAGAAGGAATTCCAAATTAAGTTATTTGAAGCAATAAAGAACAGCCATTAAATTAGTTATATATTAGAATTTCCACACAAAATTGGAAGAAAGTGAATGCAACTCGAAATTAGCATGCGTAGAAAATGTAACGTTTCGTGGCGATTCTTTTTTTCGGCGTTCGTACCCTCGAATACGTACAAACAAATAAATTACGCGATTTGCGTGCGAAGAAAATATTTTCAAGCCAATGTTTCCGTTTTTCAATTACACGTTTTATACGG